TATATGGAAAGCAGGAACTTCATCTGATGGTTCTTAATACTTAAGACTTTTCTGTTTATTTTATTTTTATGTGCAATTTTAGTGCAATATTTATTGTCTAATTATTATTTATTTTTAATTATTTTATTTTTTGCATAACAGACACATGCTGATACATCTAGCCAATATTTTTAGTTGTATGTTACTTATATGGATAAATTATTAATATTGTATTTTTCAGATTTTATTATATTTTGTACTAACATAAAATGTGATATATATAAGACTGATTAGTATCTGACGAAAGCCATGCAATATTATTTTTGTTTATTAAAGATTTTAATTTAAGATCAAAAGGCTTTTCCAAATTTTTTAATTTCTATAATGTTATTTGTATATTTTGATTTAGTTAATATTTTTATTTTAAATATATATTTATTATTAATTAATATTTATTTTTGTTATATGAATACTGGTAAGGTTTTTGACAGTTTTCCTTACCCTTGCAACGAATGTTGGTATTCTTTGAGATTCTGTCAAATAAAAGATTTTTATTTCATTTATATAAAAAGTGTTTTATTTGAAGAATATATTATTTTTTACCTTTCCCTCTTCTTTTTTACTATAATTAATATTTAGAAAATATTTAACAATATATATTACATAACAATATATTATATATATGTATATATTTTATTTTCAGTTTACTTTAAAGATTTTCAATGTAGGGGGGCAACGGTGCCTTATTTAATTACTTGTATGAGACACTATACTGACGCCGTATTGCTGCACATGCGCATACAACCGATCCCTAATCGGAACACTGCTTTCTATTCTCTATACACTCTTTGCTCTCTTTTCCTATCCCGTTTGTGCCCGTCTCTATGTCCTATATTCTATGCCTGTCCTATGCCTGTCAACCCGTCCCCTTTTTCCTTGCCCTTTCCCTTTCTCCCTGCTCCGCCCTGTACTCCCCTCACTCACACACTCTCTCTCTCTCTCACCTCCACTCTCTCCTTCACTCACTCTCACCCCTCCTTCTGCTCTCCTCTCGCTTCTCACGTCACCCCAAAAACTTTGTTCTACTCCACGTGTCTCACTCTATCGCACCGGAAACGGAAGTCCCATTATTCATAATAAAAAAAAAGTATATAAAATATTTCGCCTTGTTTGAATTACCCTGTTCTGCTTGCCACCGTGTAAACAAAGCGTATAAAAATAACTGTGCGTGATCTTAACTGTACTATTCATTTCCAATGTCCCGCATGTCGCACAGTGTTTGCTGCAAAACGCGAGCAAAATCCCTCGTGTTTGTCTTTTCGCACGATTTGAAAGAAGAACAGGCGAACAGAATATCCTTCGGTCGCGGATTGTAACAGCAACTGTAACCGTCGGGAACAACTGGTCCATAGCACGCAAACGTCGCTGATTTAAACGGCACCTTTAAATCACGAAAATATTAACACGGTAACTTTTTTATTAAAATATGTAATGTTTCAACCTTTTTTAACATTTTAAGCTTGTTTCGCATTACCTGACTCGATATTAAATTGAAATATGTACTTCTGGTGTAACCAACATCCTTGTACAATTCTGGAAGCTCCATTCCTTCGCTTTGTGCTATCATTTTCAAGCCAAACAGATGCCGATCGACACCTTGACCCACGGCTGCCTGCAAAGAAGAGTCGTTAGCTTTGGAGTTCACATCGCATCATTGAAAGACCGCGCCGTAATTTAAGCAGAGAAAAATCTTACTTGTCTAGCGAGCTCTTTGTGAGCATTTATAGCTTTGATTAGCATTTCCTTCTTCTGCGCTTTACTCGCGCACTCGGCGTCGTAGAGCATCAATTTCGCGAATTCGACAGATTCGGTGCTAGTGGACCTTATGCATTCCGTTCTGGCATTTATAAATCTTCGTAATGCCGCACTCTCGTAGTGGGCCGGTGGTTTTTTCAATAAATTATAGAACGTCACTTGCATCGCAATCTGGATAAAACTGTCGGGACTCAGTTTAATCGCTTTTATCGCGTCCGCGCCAAACTTGTCGAATATAAAACATTCCATGTCTATGTCACTTGAGAGTCTAGAAAAATCATGCGTATTGTATTTATAAGGACATTGGCGTGATTATAATTTAACAATCAGCAGAACAGATAATTGGCTTACTTGTCCACCGCATCAGCAGCTTTATCAATTGCACGACTTACGGCGTCGTTAGTCTCGAATTTCAAAAGTTCCGGTCTGGGAAAATCTTTGGGACTTGCGTTCCTTGCACTATTTTCCCTTGCTGCTCTGAAAGTAGACGGAGATTTTTATTTGCGCCATTACGAGACAGGTTTCTTAGCATTAATTATTTACATATATTTTAGCACATGATCATGAAGGACGGCAACTGGAACACCCCCAGATGGACTGTGTTCATATTCCATGCCGATGTAACCATCAGCGGATACAATGTACTGCAAAATATACGTGTCCTTTGATTATCTTAACAGATTTTAAATATTTCTCTATTGTTATTGAATTATCACATGTTTCACCTGAATAGTCTTATCATGCCACCTGTTACCCGCATTTACGCGGCTGTTGAAGCCTGTCATCGTTTGAACTGCTCTAATTGAAGCATTATTCTTTCCTATAAAAGCATCCTTAGGTATATTCTTGTCAAGACACAATATGAACAAGGATGTTTCTATATCCTTGATTATATTTCTATTGTTACCTAATTCTGAAAATGCATCAATGATTCATTAACTGAAAAAAATTATTAAAATAATTAACAAAGAATGCAGTTCGAAAAGGTATGCATAAAAATCATGTGAATAGGCACAAGAAATAAATATATAATAAATAATAAATAGAAATAAATAATAAATAAATAAATAAATAAATAAATTGAAGTAAACCTAAAAGTAAATCGTGGTCCTTCGCCCAAGTATCTCTATCATTCCCAGTTAAAATTCCTATAGGCTTTTCTTGCGCACACGAGCAATCTGCGATATCTTTTATAGCAGCCATGAGCTTATCCTCACTTAAAATGCCGGTTTCATCGACAACACAAAGTTTAAAGAACTGTAATATAGATGAAATGTATGTATAGAGATATCTTCTCACTGATATAGTCATACTTACATGATTATTGCTTATGATTATTATGTGTTTGGCCTCGTCTGTATGCAACAGTTTATCGATTACTTTATTGGGCTGTCTGTGTGTACCTAGTATCATGCCATAAGGTTGCATATCAAGTGGATCATTGCGTGCCATTTCTTGTTTCATCTTTCCACTAAAAAGTTTCATTGTACGTGTGAGTATAAAGTATATAACAAAAAAAATATTGTAAGTTGTAAAAAGTCACCTCTTGACCATCTCATTGAAATCACATACTCCAGCAACAAGCCGTGCTGCAAATGCATACATATCATCTGGTCTGTTGAAAGTAACTGGTGGTCCAACAACTCCAGGATTGGAATGTACAATCACAGGGAAACGGTATCCTAAATATGCAACTTGCAACCACCATTCCTTCATCTAAAGGTATATAAATATAGATCAATAGTACTCATGTTAGTATTAATTTAAAAATATATGTAAATGCGTGAAGTACCCAATTATCAGTGTTTTCATATCTCTCTAGTAATTTAGCATGTAATCGAGGTCCTGCACCAGTGTCGCTTACAAATTTATTTACAATTCTTTCTGTATTTTTATATTCATTGTCAGTCAACAGTGGCTTCAAAGACCTATAATTATAACGAGTTATAAATAATGATGATCATATATTAAAAATAATATAGATATGTACCTTAAATAACGCTCTGCAGTTTGCTTAATATCAGGAACAGGTTGTTTGGGAAACACTTGTTTATTTAGATTTAAGGTTGTTATGGATGGTCCACGAAGAACTGATGATGTT